AGAGGCATGCTGGGAGATGGGTGCCGCCGAGGATCCCCGTGGTGCAGCAGAGGAGGGCCAAGACTGGGAACCACAAGTTTCATCTGAGAGTGGCACTGTGCCCCTCTTTCCAGGCACCATTCCTGTCGGAGCCCGAGCCTGACTGCAAGCAGGAACCTGACTCCCTTGCTGCCTGTACAGCAAAGGAAAGTGCAGGGTTGGGCCATACCGGTAGAGCAGGGCTTGTGGCCAGCCAGGCGTGCGGCAGGCCCTCACTCTCCACTGTCGTTCTCTCCAGGCCCTTCCCCATCTGCATCGGCAGAGCCCCAATCGGCCTCCCGGAAGCTGGTCTCAGCGCTGGACCGGCTTGTGCACCTCCGGGCCAGGAAGCGCAAGGCAAGGGAGGAGGGACCGCTGGAAACACCACGGGGCCCCAGCCAGAAGCATGGACGCAGCCAGCTGGAGTTGAAGAGGGCACGGCGAGGTGGGACCTGGCGGGCAGAGGAGAGGCAGAGCCTGGCCGAGTTCATCCAGCACGACCGGGAGATGCGGCGGGAGGACCGGGAGTTCCAGGCCCAGCTCCTGGAGAAGCTTTTCCAGAAGCAGCTGGAGATGGTGTCAGCCCTGGCCCAGCCTGCCCCACCCGTGCAGGAACCAGAGTTGGTGACACAGGAGAGGGCCAAAGCGGGGCTCCATCTCCACACTGTGCCGGAGCAGGCGGTGCGGAGGCGGCTGCCCCTGCCGCTGCAGGGGCCCTGGAGCGATCTGGGAAAGCGCCCCAAGCTGTCCAGTATTGGACGGCAGATGAGATCCTGCGCTGGCTGGTGCCACAGCAGCCACTGAATGGGCAGCAGCCTTGGGGGGAGCGGTGTCGGGAGGGGCTGCCGGGCCTCTCAGCCCCTCTGGCCTCACGTGGAGATGGGGAGGTGGGTGAGACAGAACCCAATCTCTCTTCCTCCAGACAAGTGACCGACACCTGCCAGGGGCCCAGCGGGCCGGGGGAAGCCCGACTCCTCCCCCCACTCACCAGGGAAACCCAACAAGCCCCGGCCAGCCTGGATGTCAGCGAGGCCGGTGACGGTGCTAAGGCGAGGGGTGCCATCCTGCGCTGCTACGACACGGAGATGCAGCGCCAGCGCTTCCGGGGCTTCCGCTACCAGGAGGCCCAGGGGCCCCGGGAGGTTTATGGCCGCCTGCAGGAACTTTCCCATCGCTGGCTGCAGCCAGAGACCCGTACCAAGGAGCAGATGCTGGAGCTGCTGGTTCTTGAGCAGTTCCTGAGCCTCCTGCCTGAGGAAATGCAGAGCTGGGTGCGGGAGCGTGGCCCGGAGAGCGGCCAGGAGGCCGTGGCCCTGGCTGAGAGTTTCCAGCTTGTCCCCCACAAGCCAGGATGGCAGCAGCCCCAGGTGAGCCCGCGGGTTCCTGCATCACCCCGGGGGAGCATGGAGCAGAGTGGTTTGGGGGGGGGGGGGGAAGTGGCACCAGCCTTGCTGCCCACCCGGTGCTTGGTCCATGGGGCAGGGGATGTTTTTTGGCTCCATAGTATGGGGCCGTGTTGTACCGGGCACGGGGCCTGGGCCAGCGAGCACTGAGGAAGGACACTTGTTGTTTCAGGTGCAGGGGCCAGTCCAGGAAGGAGCCCGTGATGCCGGTGCTGCACAGCGGGCCCTGCTGGTGGAGCAGCAGAGGGCATGCCAGGGGGCCAGCGTACAGGAGAATGGCTGGCGCGGCGGCTTGTTGGGTGAGGGCTCCTTTTCCCCAGCATTGGAGCCAGCTGCCTCTGACTGGTCGGGAAGGGTGGGACTCCAGCGCAGGGCTGGTTTCTGGGGGCTCAGCAGGAGTGGGCCACGGAGGGGGACTAGCAGGAGTTCCCTTAAGTCCCCCGCACACCAGCTGGGTGTGCCCACAGCAGCCAACATGCTCCTCTGCCCCGGGACAGCCAGCAGTGTGTGTTGCCGCGCTGCGGCTGATGGTCCCGGAGCACAGGCAGGGCCAAGAGCAGTGATGTATGTCTCCGGCTGTTCCCCACTGTGCAACCCATGAGGCTGAGTGCACTATGGAGACCTCCAGGTAGGGAAGGAGTGTCCCTGTCATGTGCCCTGCCACAGGAGGTGCCAGGCTAGAGCTCAGCGGTCTTGTGCTTTCATAACGTGGGGAATAGCAAGAGCAACTTTGCTGTGGGTCCTTCCGCTCACCTGCATGTGAGGCAGGGCCATGCTCTCATCCCTGTTACAGAGCTGGGGCCAGAGACCCTTGGTGACTGGCGCAAGGTGCCAGGGAGCCCGGGCACAGCAGGGATGGACCCGGCTCTGCCCCTTGGCCCCACTCCAAGCCCTGGCTCTCCAGAGCGGTAACTCTTGGTGATTTATTCTCCCAGGTGTCATGCCGTGTGCCCCGCTGGCACAGAGACCGAGCCTGGGGGTGACTGAGCCAGTTGTCCCCCAGCCCCTGTGTGACAGAGCAGGCCCCATGCAGGGACGGCCAGTGGAGAATGGCTTAGAGCCTCTGCAGAGCAGCGGGCCCCTGCGGCAAGCAGAGAAGAACGCTGTCCTGGTGCCGCGTCCAGCAGCTGGGAAGGCGAGTGAGCCATGTGATGATGTCCGAGGAGGACACGTGGGGACAGACAGTGTGCCACAGGGTAGGGCCACCACACAAGGGGGCAGCAGCAACCAGGAGGCTCAGAATGGGGTGTCTCAGCTGCCTGCGCCATGTGCCCCGTGTGAGCAGCAGACACCTGTTAGCCTCATGCGGCCAGAGCACAGCAGCACCAAGGGGGACAGGGCCTGCAGCAGGAGTGCTGGCCGCGTGTCCCCAGAGCTGGACGGCCCCTTGCTCGGGGATGCCCTGGAGACGTCACTGGACTCCCCGTGGGACGGAGAGGGCAGTGCAGAAAGAGCCTGCCCGGGGGCACGGCCCCGCTGCCTGGGCTGCACGGTTCTGCGGGCTGAGCTGGATGCTGCACGGGAGGAGCTGAGAATCACCCAAGGTAGGTGCTGGCTGGCGCTGCTGACACTGTTGTCCAGCTGCGGGAAGCGGTAGGTGCTTGACCCATGCGTCCAAAACTGCCCTTGGCCTCATTGTTGCGCATTTGCGGCTGGCCCGATAGGGTACCAAACACTGTCAGGCTCCTGTGGCCAGGAGAAGAAAGAGCCTGCACCCTCCGTGCACCCTGCACCTGAGCCAATGGGTGCCCCAGTGGAGTAGCTCCATCAGCAGGCCGTATTAGCGGTCCGGCAGTGGCGCGGTTGATTGCCTTTGGGAGCAGCAGCAGCAGCAAGCTGGTATCCCAGGGCAGGGTGGGAGGAAGGGCTGGTTCCCGTCAGCAGGGGGCAGTAGAAGGCTGTTACTAGGGTTGTAATAGTGTAATGGTTTAAACCACGGGTGGGCAATACTTTTAAAAAGGGGGCCATTTCAGAAATTTCTGAAGTGGTCCCGGGCCACCCCGGAAGGGGAGGGCCTTCTTGTGTTCCCACCCCACCCTAATATGCCTGGGGTGGGTGAGCGTGAGAAGTCTTCCCCATCCCTCCAGGTGCCTAGTGGAAGGAGACCTCACGCGCTCTGTGGGCCCCAAGCCAATCAGGGCCTGGGGACAGGGGAATGCGCAAAGTCTCCTCGCCCCCGCAAGAGCGTGCGACAGGTAGAGAGACGCGCCGGCTTAAAACAGCCGGCGTGTGTCTCTTGCCGCTGCGTGCCCCTGGCAGGGCGGGGAAAGGGCATGAGAGACTTTGTGTGCTCCCTGCTCCCAGGCCCTGATTAGCATGGGGAGGGGGGAGTGGTAGGGCGGCCGAGGGCCGGATCCACCGGCTCGGTGGGCTGAATCCGGCCCGCGGAAGGCCCTTTGCCCACCCCTGGTTCAAACAGTTGAGGGATAAGGAAAAGCTTATCCCCACAATGGTTACGTGCTGGCTCCCAGCCCTGCTCCCCGCCCTGCTCCCGGGGAGCTGGCTGCTGCCCCACACTACAGGCTCCCCAGAAGTGGGGCCGGGAGCCTCAGAGCCTGCTGTGTGTAATTTCTAAGTTTTTTAGCGGTTACACAGTTACCTACTTGTTAACATCTCTAGCTGTCATCCCAGGGGCTAGGTGGGGGAAGGGCTGGTTTCTGTCAGCAGGCAGCAGCAGCAGACTCGTCCCAGAGGCTGTGCGGGGTAGGCTGGGAGCTGTTCTCAGCCACGGGGTGAGATACATACAGAGTGTTTGTCCCACAGCTTCCACCCTGTATGGGCTGACTGGCATCCACCTGCAGGGCCTAGCCGAGGCCCTAGATACCATCTCACGCATCCTGAATGACAGCAAGGCGATGACAACCAAACCCCCCTGGGCTGTGGCCGAGAGCCCCGAGGTGGCCATGTCCCGACAAAAACATGTAAGTGCACGACCCGATCCACGGCTGCTCTGTGGTCCAGTCCAGCCTGACCAACGGCTGCCTTGGGTCGGGCTGTATGGGCCCACCAGAGTTCAGCCTGGGAGAGGGCACCACTGTGGGAAGTTCCCCTTCTCCACCCCGTGTGGCTTCCTGCTGGTCCCAGCTGAGTCAGTTTCTTGCGCCCGCCTCCCAGTGGATGCGGTGCTCTGAGCACAATGAGCGCAGCCGAGCTCCTTACCTAACCCCAGTGTCCAGCGCGGGGCTGATGGGCTGGGCCGGATGGCTCCTGTTCTCACTCTGTCCCTCCTCGCAGCTCTCCTGAAGCCCAAGTGCCTGGTGAGCAGCTGGCCGTGGCCCACCGCCCAGGAGCCCGCTGGACGTTCAGCAGCAGCGTGGGCTGTGCCAGGCAGAAGGCGACGAACTGCCACTCGCTTCAGCCCAAAGCCGCTGGCATCGAGCTCCACGCGTGCGACAGCGCCTGCAGCAGGGAGGCCTTGGACAGGACCTATGGGGCACAGGGCCAGCTGTCTCGGGGTGCTGGGAGCCAGATCCAGCAGGGCTTGTGCTGAGCCCTGGCAGCTGGTGTCTCCTCACTGGACTTTCCAGGGAGCCTTTCCTACTCCACTAGCTTTTTGATACAACGTCCCCAGAGCCTCTGTTCCCCTTCACTTCTCAGGTTGGTCTCAATAAAGCAATGCCAGAGCTCTAGGGACGTGATGCTTGCAAATGGGAAGAAGCATGTGTTAGTGTCTCCTGAGCACACCATGGCTGATCCCAATTTCCCTATTGTTTGTTCAGCATAGTTTTGGCATCCAGCCTGCCTTTTGGAGGGAGGTCCCCAGGCAGATATGCCCTGCGCTAGCCCCACTGGCCTCTCATGCAAGAGGGAGGGAAGGAGTCTGGTGAATAAAGCTGGCCGCTTGGTGATATTGATCATTAATTAAAACTCACATCAGCCTAGCATTATAGCATTTAATTTCAGAAAAGGGGGTGCAGAAAAATGAGGCTGTTAAACAGAAATTAAAAGACACAAAGTAAAATCCCTTGCAAGCTGCATGGACATGTATAGGGTATGTGTATATTACAGTCTTTTGTCAACAGAGACTTTGTTGACAGATACTGTCGAGAAAGCCTCTGTCGAAAAAGAGCATCTAGACTACAGCCAGTTCTGTCAACAAAGCAAGCCACTTTTTCGACAGAGTCTAGATGCTCTCTTTTGAAAAAGCTCAGTGTGGATGCAATAGCGCCTTTTTTCGACATAACTCTTTTGAAAAAAGGCATTATTCCTCGTAGAATGAGGTTTACTGCCCTCGACAAAACTTCCGCGTTCTGTCCACTTGCTGTTGACGGAACTCGGCGGGAGTGTAGACGCAGTATAGTTTTGTTGACAAAAGTCCATTTTTGTCGACAAAACTCTATAGTCTAGACTCACTCTTAGATACTATAACGGAGGCTCAACTTAAATGTATACTCTAAATTAAAAACCATAGAGAAAGAATCAAAGTGTCACTGTGGCTTAATAACCAAGGTGAAGAAGCAGTGGGAGAGAAAAAGTCATTAGTTAAAAAGTGTAAATTAACTCTTGGGCCTGGTCTACACTACAATGGGAGGCTGAATTAAGATACGCAACTCCAGCTATGTAAGTTATGTTACTGGAGTCAACTTATCTTAAATTGTTTCGGCAACATCCATGCCCTGGGAGGCTGACAGAAACAAACTCACCTGTCGGCTTCCCTTACTCTTTACAAAAGGAGTACCACTGGACACCAGCTGGTGCTTCCCTCAGCATTTAATTTACAGGTCTATACTAGGCCCATTAAATCGAACATGAGAAGATCGACCTCTGGAGGGTTGATCTGTTGGTAGCATAGACATGGCCCTAGTGAGGAAAAGAGCTTCAATTCTAGCAAATGAAATGTAAAAAATATAATTAGCAAGAACAAAAGATATTTGAACAACAGCCAGCCAAAGACTTGAAAAGTAACAGCAAAGTTTGTAGATGTATCAGAAGCAGGAAGCCTGCTAAACAACCAGTGGGGCTGCTGGACTATCAAGATGCTAAAAGGAGTTACTCCAGGAAGATAAGGTCATTGCGGAAAAATTAAATGAATTCTTTGCATTAGTCTTCACGGCTGATGGTTTTAGGTAGATTCCCCAACCTGAATCATATTTTTAGGTGACAAATCTGAAGAACTATCTAGTTTGAATGACATCTCAAACTAGATAGTTCAAGTTTTAGAACAAATTAATAAACTAAACAATAATTCACCAGGGCCAGATGACATTCATCCAAAAGTTCTGAAAAAACTCAAATGTGAAATTGCAAAACTACTAACTGTGGTTTGTACCTAATGACTGGAGGATCACTAATGTGACTCCAA